ACGCACCCGGCCACCGTGCATGAGTGCGCGGCCGACCTGCACGGGAGGCGTGTGGCGCTGCACAGCCATGGGAGCAAAGTGACCCAATGCCAGCCGGATTCACTGTCCAGGGCTTCCCTCCAAATCATCAGGGACTAGGGGGCTTAAAACAGTAAAAGTGTGCTCGCTCACCGCTCCGGAGGCCAAAAAGTCAGCAGTCAGGGTGTCAGCAGGACCTTGTGCCTTCTGAAGGCTCTAGAGAAGGATCATCTGTCACCTAGTCCAGCTTCTGGGGGTGGCTGGCAGTCCCGGGCATCTTGGGCTTTTGGCTGTGCTACTCCGGTCCCTGCCTCTGTTGTCACACAGCCTTTCCTCTCTGTATATCTGGGGGTCTCCAGATGTCTGTCTTTATGAAATCCAGCCACTGGGTCTGAGGCCCAGCCTAATTCAGTGTGAATGCATCCCAACTTGATTACATCTGCAAAGACCATATTTCTGGCCACATTCACAGATGCCATGGACTTCAACATGTTTTTTGAGGGGATCACGATTCAATCTCTGACACCAACATTTGCAGGTGTGTTTTTTCTTTCTTCCTGGTCATGTAGGGAATGAACTACAGAATTGGGGAATGCAATATACATGCATGCCCAATACCTAACGTAGACTCCTGGACACCCCTGGCTGTGTTCATGCTCACCCACCATTGTTGCGAATGTGATTTTCTTTGCTCTTAACTTTAGACGTTAGTAGCTTGTTTTTATGTCCCTAAGAGCGTATTTCTGCTCTCATGGACTATTTCACCTGGGAGAGATTGAACTTTCTCACAGCCAGAAGAGATGCCCCAGGGTTGTGGAAATAGAACAGAAAGCCAGTTTTCAGCATTGGAGGGAACACTTGAGGGTCCAGGATGGCATGAGATCTTGCCTGGCTCTGGGCTAAGCGGTTGAGAGCAGATTTAATGGCTGGTCTGTGATGCTCTGTCAACCATGGGGCCCTTGTGCATCTCCTGGCTATTTGGAACACTCCAGTATCTCCAAGGCAGTGTGTGCCTTTGGAAGCTTTGTGGCCGGGAAGCCCTAGTTCCCTCATACCAGAAACACTTTTCTAAGCAAGGAACTGAAGCAATGTGAAGAAGAAAGATGGTGCTCTTAACGCATCCTGGAGAGGTTTGGAAGACATTGTGTATCCAGAAGCAGCTCTGCCCATGTGGGCCACAGCCCTGGGAGCTTTTTCCTTTGTTTTGTTGTTGTTGTTTTCTTTTTCCTTCTCTGGCAGATGTTTGTATGGAAATGTGATCTTTAATTCCTTAAAGACTTATCTCTCTCGAATTAATTTCTCTTTTGAAGTTATAATCTTTTATGTAATGCTTTCTGATCACCTTGACTCCAAGTCAAGTGTTAAATGTCACAGAAGGGAAAATCGTGTGGGCTTTCTGCATGCAATTTGGGCATACAAGAAATAACTACAGTGGTTGGAGGCCAACACATGGAGGTAGCCAGTTTCGGAAGTCCCCTGGAAATGGAATGTGGCTGTCTTGTGTCATTTCTTGACAACTACCATCTGATTTAATTCTTTCACAAATACAGAAGGCAAACAAATCTGATTTTCTTGGGCATCACCATGATGATGGATATTTCCCCATTACTTACAAAGAGGAAAGCTGCAAATTCACAGGAATCCTCCAGGTTTGGGACACAGCAACTGGTCACGATGGGCCTCTCTTTAGATTCACACTGCTCAGAGTTGCTCGTGGAGGAGATAGAAGGAAAGAGCTTGCCACTTGTTGATATTTGCCTGCTCTGGCTAAAGCCTGAAGCCCCTCCTGGATTTGGAGCTACTTCGGGAAACACGTTGGATGTGTTCTTGGGAGCTCTGTTGGCTATTTCCAGCTCCCCAGGGCTTGAACAGCCACAGACTTGTGTCGAACTGCTGTGCGGGTCTCTGCTCTGGATTCCTCCTCTGAACCCTGCATAACGTGGGAGTCAACAGGATGGTTCCACCCAGAAATGGAAGGGAAGTACTCAAAGATGGCGTGTTCTTACTTATCTCCTCCCCGCTCTGGCTGCTTGAGAATGGCCAACAAGAAAAGGACTAGCCCTACTGGATTGGTGGGAAACATTCCATATTCTTAGTTGTTAAACTTGACCTGTGCAGTAGAATAACATGTTTTTCTGAATGAGACTCAGGCTGTCAGCCTCTTCTCGACCTAAATGGTGAGGACCACACAGATGAGCACTCGTTTAGAGAACAGTGCACCCCATTTGCTAAAAGGCACGTTGTGGTTGGAACTTTGGAAAGAATAATTTCCCATGCATTTATGTTCTCTCCTTTTCTTGTTCGATTAGAAATGTCCAAACAAATTCAGCGTGTGGGAAGGAAGCACACATTAGCACTAAGTAATGAAGAAAACGCACTAACACTAAGCCATTTAAGTTTGTTCGATACATTCCTTCTTCTGTGTTGCAGGAGACTTGGATGTTGAGCGCCTCAAGGAATGAGTAGTTCCAGGCTTTTCTCCTGGGTGGATGGCAGGGGTTGGTGGGGCTTATTTGGAGAACCTCTGTCCTTCCATCTGGGAAGGCGCTCAGGCTGAGCAGAGCAGGAGAATGAGGCGCCGGCAGCTCTGATGTCAGGGCGGTTGTGATAGGTCACCCTCTGGCCCCACCCATTCCCAGCCTGGTCACCTGCAGGCCAGGCTGGAAAGCCACCCTAGAGAATGTGGATGAAGGTTGACTGCTTGGTGTCCAGGAAGTCCGTGGATACCCAGGCAAACCCAGAGGGACAGACTCTTCTAGTAAGTCTTAGAGAAGGGCAAAGCATCAGGGCACATGGTGCTTAAGAGCATGGCTTCGGATCCCCGACTGGTCTCACCTGCTAGTGTGTCCCCTTTGGCATGTCACTTGACTTGCTTTCATCAGTTGAAGCATTTAGAATTGGGCATCTAATGGATACTTAGCTTTAACTATTATTATGTCTGCGTAAGTAAACGTACACAAGCATTACAGTGTCCAGATCTGCTGCTGGTCGCCCAGAGAGCCTGAGGAGGCTGGCTGGTGTTTAACAAGGTGGTGTGCTCATGATTTATTTAGCTCTTGGCCCTTGAGGCCTTAGTGGCCCACTCTGGATGTGGCACTCTTGTCCTTGCAGCAGTGACAGGGTTTGGGTCTATGGTATCTGATGAGAAGCCTCTACCTCGAGAGAGGAGAGACAGCTCTGTGTGAGGGTTACACGTCTGTAGTCATGTGTCATCCCTCACCTGCCCTTGGAGCACACCTGTGACATCTTAGCAGGCCTGTGTATTTTAGCACAGAGGTCTGAAGAGGTTCGGAATCCAGCCGCTATGCTGGTAAAACGTCCCTCAACTCAAGAAGGCAGTTCCCAGTAAAACTAGTTAATATTTATTGAGTGTCATTATTTGCCAGGCATTGCTCTGAGGGCTTTCCCAGTATAGACTTATTTACTCTTCACAGCATTCCTATAGGCTAGTTAGTAATTTTATCCTGTCCTTTTGGTTGAGGAAACTGAGGCTCAGAAGAGTTAGTAAGGGGTGCAAGGTCATACAAAGATGATACAGCTGATATTTGAGGCTGGGACCATGGCTTCAGTCCTGTTAACCATTGTCGACATGAATCACTGTGCGATGAACGGTTAGCCCTGGTCCTGCCTTCCCAGTGACAGGGACTCAGGGGCCGCTCTGAAGCACAGCATTGCCCACACTGTTTATGGAGGGGCTGCCATGTGCCCCACCCTTGGACTCACCCTCTGGAAGAGGAGGGAGGCAACGGTGAGCAGCCCTTTGTGATTGGTGTCCTTCTGGCAGTGGAAATAAAGAGCCAGAGAGAAAGGATCCAAAAAGGGAATGAGTAACTTGGTGAAGGGGGAGGAAATGCTTCCTGGGGCCATGACTTCTCAGCTAGGTTTGGTGGAATAAATAGGAATTCACTAAGCATACTAAGTTGGACACGGCAGGCAGCAGGGTCTTTTAAAGGTGGGGGACAGCAAGTCCTTTAGCATGGATGGATGAATGATAAGAGTGGGCGGCGGGGGTGGGTAGTCCTGTTTGTTGAGACCGGAGGAGCGGAAAGAGCCAGAAGACGGAGGGCCTGCTTTGCCGTGCCAAGGAACCCAACTTTATACTGGGCAGGTAGACAATTTAATATCAGTTGTAAAAATAAGGTCACAATCTCCAAACCTTGATGCAGTTAGTAGTATTAGTTTTTTTTCCCTCTGATTTTATCATCATGATTATTGAAGAAAAATCTGATGTGTGTTGCTACTGTGTTAAAGAATGTTGGGTTTTTAATCTCCTCCACTTGTTTCTCATTTTTTTTTATCAGCAATTCTCTGGCAAAAGTTATTTTCATAGGCCAGGATAAGTACTTTTGAGAGTTTTTTTTTAATGTTTTCTTAAGTGGCCTTTGATTGCATAAGAGCATCATGCAGAACTGTTTCCAGTAGTATCTTTATAGCAGGAATGGAGGCTAAGACTGATTATGTAATTGTTCCCTTAATTTATTCTCAGAACCTAACATGCTGCCAGCATATAAAAAAAAAACCCCAAAGATCACAATGGCATCTAAGTGACTCTTGCTCACGGTTTCTGGCACTATTGCTTTTGCATCATTCACTGCAGAGGAGAAATGGATGGTTCCAGTGTGGCATGACTGTTGGCAGCACTGGGCGCCCCAGACTCATGGCTCTGTCTGCTCTGTCCTGCCGTGCAACCCACAGCCAACTCTCGCCGGAGAGGATTCGTGTGTACTCCTTAGAGACCCTTGCCAGCGTCTGGCATGTTAACCTTTGGCTGAGGAGAGGCGGCGGACTTCTGCTGCGCTGAGGTTGCATTTTGCAAGGAGCACAGAATACCATCTGTCAGAGGAGGCGCGGGAGTGTGCAAATATTGCTGTGAATTCCACGAATGCTTAATTGCTACAGTTGTTTCTTTTTTTTTTTAATTTAACAGTCTTTGCATTTAGTTTGTTTGTTTGTTGTTTGTTCTTTTTTTTTTTATTTTTTAGAATAGTCCTTATCAGTGGCAGAAGATCCTTCTGTAGTATATTTTCAGTGCTGCCCTATCGTGACAGTGCCCAAGTTGGGTATGTATATGCATGCTTGCTTCATAGTTCTCTGGGTGAAAAGTTGTGACACCATGTGTGTAATGTGGTTGGCCTTCCCATTTCAAAGAACTTGCCTTGCTTTGACACTGCAAATTCAGTACTTGTAAATTTGAAAGAAAGAAAGCTCCACTTTCTTTTCAGCCAGAAAGCTTCCTTGTTATTTTGCGTGTGTGCGTGTGTGTGTCCTCACCGTGTGGCCTGCTGTTTCCAAATGTGCATTTTGTCACCTCTTCCAATACTGTAAAGCAAGAGCAATCCGGGACCCACCCCATTCCTCAGGGCCATGTCGACTTTTGGAGAAAGGTAGGTGAAGAAAGGAATCAAAACAAACCATGTGAACGTCCTGCCTCTTGCATCTTGGGCTTGGGGCTGGAAACTAACCAGCAAGCTGGAGCCAATAACAAAGCAAAATGGTACCAGGAACAGACCTATGTGATTCACCACAGGCCAAAGGAACGCCTACTTCTGTAGCTCAACAAGCCCTTCCTTTTGCTCTGAAGAAAAGTAGGTAAGTGAGGCTCTGTCCTTGCAGAGCCTCCCCTTTAGTCCCCGTGCCAAACTCTGTGCTTATCTCCTCTGAGTCTTTGCAGCCTTGCCCCTCACCTGTTACTGCATCCGGTGTTTGTTGTCAGGGAGCTGCTGGTATTTAGGGTAGGACAGCTCACCCCATAGGATGCCAGGAATCTTGCGGGATATTGGCTCTGGCCTCTACAAACTAAGTGCTGGAATTGCCCCCTAGACACTGTGACAACGACACATTACCCACTCATGACCATCGCCCCAAGGGAGGGCAGTGTGGCCCTTGGTGCTCATTCACCATTTATTCATCTTCCACCGTATTGCACGAGCTCTTCCCTGGTCATGCCTGTTCACCATGGCTTTCCCTCCCCCCACCGTAGATCTGTCAGACTCGCACCCATTCAACTCACCACGGTCTTTATTTGTACTCTACACCATAAGCTTCATCAGACAGAAAGTAGCACATCTTCTTCTTCATGGAATTCTGACTCAGTCATTTATTAGACGTGTGCCTTAAAGAGTAGCAGTAATCTTACTGTTGATTGAGCACGTACTTTGTGCCGGTCCTTTTCACTCCCTGCATCTTTACAACAACCTTGCAAAGTAGGTGTTCTCAAAAAAGTAACAGCAAACCCTGCAGGTCAGGGGTTCAAGGATCACCTGGGCGTGGCCGGCAGAGCTGCCCGCAAGAGACGTCATGAGGAGGCTTGCGTGACCTTACCGACCTGCTGTGGTCCCAGGTTTGGCTGCACCTGAGAGCAGGCTTATTCCCTGTGGACACTAGGTGGTACCAGCTCACAGACCTCTGTGTGACCCAGAAGGCCAGTTCATTAATCTTACACAAATAATCGCCCCAGGGCCCAGATTATTTCAGTGTGACCAGCCTGTTAGCACATTTCCAGGGAGATCTGAAGCAGCCGTGGAAGGCTCTGTGCAAGTATGTCCTCTCATGGCCAGCTTGGATGGCCACTGTGGGGTTGGCCTTATTTTTCTATTTTTCTGGGCTTCCCTTGCTGACCTTTCTGATTGATGTATTCTTCCTTTGGCCATGGTCCATTTATTCATTTATTGAGTCCTTTTATGTGAGTAGGTGCTGGGTTAAAGGTGGGCCTGGTTCCTGTCTCCTGGAACTTAAAACCAAGAGGGGGGACACATTAAAATTTCACATACAATTAATTAGCACTTTTAATTAAGGCTAAAGATGAAGTTCGGTCAGGTGACTGCCAGCTCTTCCTGGCTGAGAACTCATTCGGTTTCCGTAACGTAATCTCACTTCTCTGTGCTTTTGTCTTAGAACTGTTCATGTTTGTTTCATTCTGGAATGGTGCCTTTATTTCCAAGTTCTGGGGCCCCCTCACTATGGTACCCAAGTACTTATCCCCATTTTATAGATAGGACCACTGGTCCTCAAGAGTTATGGTCTCAAACATCAGCTTTGGGCCAGAATGGGAGTTTGAACCCAAGTCTGTCCAGCCGTAGGACTTTCCATGACTCACTCTGGCCAACAGGCAAAACAAGTTCCATATTCACAGAAAGCCGTCTGTGAAATGGAGCTTTTATGATAACTGCCTCGCAGAGGTGAACTAAGACTCACAGGGCGACTGACTATACGAGGTCCAGCACAGCACCTCACACAGAGGTAGATGGGGCCAACTTGTCAAGGACCCCAAATTTCTTTTTTTTCTTGAGATTTTATTTATTTGACAGAGAGAGACACAGCGAGAGAGGGAACACAAGCAGGGGGAGTGGGGGAGGGAGAAGCAGCTTCCCGCAGAGCAGGGAGCCTGATGTGGGGCTCGATCCCAGGACCCCAGGATCATGACCTGAGCCAAAGGCAGACGCTTAACGACTGAGCCACCCGGGCGCCCCAAGGACCCCACATTTCTTAAGTAAACACAATGTGGGGATCGATGAGGAGAACTTGGGAGACTTGTAGTTTTCTGCTTGGGCGAATCGCTCGCCTCTGTGAGCCTCTGCTTTTGTTCCTCTGGATGGGGATCGCAAGTTACTACTGGTGTCATTAACTTTGAAGATCACTGCATTTTACGCAGAGCTCGTGGGAACATATTTTAACTTAAACTGCCCAGGAAGAGATCACCCAGACTATCTGTTTGATATCCTTATTAGAAATGCATGGCCGTCCCCATCTTTGACACCTGGAGGAAATGCTAGCTGGCCACCAGGGTACAGGGAGAGGGGCGGCCGTCACTGCCTGGGTCTCCTTGACTCCCGCTGGGAGGGCCCCGTGTGTTACAGGGGAGATGGCACAGGGTGGCCGGCTCACTCAGCTCTCCAGCTGCTGGCCCCAGAGGAAGCAGCAAAGTGTGTTTAGGGGGATCACAGGGCATAAACTTTAGATCTTTGACATGAATAAACTCTACTCCTTCAAACTTTACAAATGAGGAAACCAAGGTGCAGGAAGGTTAATTTTCTGTAACAGAAAAACACGAGGTCCTCTGTAATGCCTGAGAGAGAAAAGAACATGCCTGTTTCTGTAGTATATTCTGCTTAAGAACTCACACAAGAAACTACGAACACCATTCAAAATATTGTAATTTAGCAGTAGGATGAAGAAGCAGTTCTTCTTTGTAAATTTTTTGATTAGCAGACATCCTATTCATGAATAACTGCCACTTAAAACCAGGATTGTTTTTATTAAGTATTGGGAAATCGCTATACTCAAGTAATGGAAGTATTTATACTGATAAATTATATACATACATAACTTTACGGTACTTTAGTTCATGCCTGTATTAACTAATACCTTTCTGCTGGAGTTCTCGGTGTGACTGGGACACAAATCCTAGCATTGCAGGGGTGGGAAGGATTTCAGAGATGACGTGGCCTGGTCTCCTTGCTTCATAGCTGGGGCCCCTTGGGCACAGGGGTGGATGCCCAGCAGAACCAGCAGCTCCAGAACCCAGTACTCCAGCCACCTTAGTCCATTGGCTTTGTGGTTTCTGGTCGCCATTTTTCTGTTGTGCTTATGCACATGGACTGAGCCACAGGCGCCTGATTATTCCAGACAAGCGTAAACCCCCCTGCTAAAAGGGATGGTGTCCAGCTCCAACTTCATCATAAGGAAGTTTTAAAAACAGGAAACTCAGAAGTTCATCCAGTGTGTACGTGAACCTCTTTTACGAGGAAAGCATCTATCAGGATGGCCTTATCTCTTTCCGGCTCTGTTTTCTGGCTTCTCCTGCTGTGCTGGAGCTTCCCAAGTCTGGCTCTCACGTCTTGGCTGGCCGTGACCCCAAAGCTTTGTTCTTGGTTTTAAACTGAACTGAGCACTTACTTTGGCTCCTGACATCAGTTGAACAAAGCAGACAGGCCAGTCTGAAGAGAGGTTTTACTATTTATTCGTTCACTTACTCATGCATTTCTTCTGCCCCTATGGGTACAAGGCCTTGATGGAGGCTGGGAGGGTATAGGGATGAGTAAGACCCACTCTTCAGGAGCTTATTATCAAGCTGGAAGCCAGACATGTAAACAACCAACCCAGCACAACTTGGGAGTCCCAGAGAAGTGCTACGGAGTGCTTTAACTGTCCCCAGATCTTTAGCAACACCCACATTTATATTGTATCTGTTATTGGCAGTAAAAGCCAAGAGCTTGCTGTGTAAGTCTCCATCCCCTCCCAAGTATATTGCCACCCCTGCCTGCCTCCCGAGTAGAAATTCAGGCACTACTACCGCACAGCAGAATTCACTCATTCACTCCACAGAACCCATCAGACCTATATGTGCCAGGCACTGTTCTAAGCAGCAGGGATACAGTGGTGAACTTGAAAATGTCTCTTGACTCGTCACCCTCTAAGGGTAGGAGACACAAACCAGCTAGTAAAGACAGTGACCATCAGATGCAAGAACAAACAATGAAGTGAGTCCTCAGCAGTGTGCAGCTGGAGCACAGAGGAAGGTGCTCAAGGAACTCAGACAGGGATCGGGGGTGCTCCCCAGAGACAGCAGCTCTTAATCAAGACTTAGAAGTATGAGGTCTTGGAGAAGCGGAGAAGGATTTTTCCAGCCTCACTGTTGACGTCTGAGGATATAGAAGGTGGTCTGGCCCCTTGTGAACTTCTTGGGGGTGGGGTGGGGATTCTCTATAACGCCTGGCATGTTGAGAGAATTGGGTAAAGCACCATCCCCGCAGGACCCCCATTGCTGACCCAGACTGCAGCGATTTCCCCTAGGTAGTGAGGGGAGGGGGTAGAGACAGAAGTGAGCTGTCCTGGACGTCACGGCCACAGGCCCATCACTCAGCCTGCTCCAGGTCTCAGTTCGTACAGTGTGGAGGTTTGACTAGACTCTCCAGAGATCCTGCACACTCCGTTCTCATCCTTGTCAATTTTGCTAATGTGGAAGCTGTTAAGTCTGGTTGAACGAGGAGTTTATGAATGAGGCATGCCGTTCACACTTTCCATCCACTGACAATCAGCTGCTAGAACTAGAGCTCCTATT